AGATTTTTTTAAAAATTATTTTATTTAACTTTATTTATTTATTTTTAAAATTTGACCAGATTGGGGGAAGGGGAAGGAAAGAGAGAGAAAGAGAGAGGGAGAGGGAGAGGGAGAGAGAGAGAGAGAGAGAGAGAGAGAGAGAGAGAGAGAGAGAAGGTGAGAAAGCAAGCTGCTAGGTCCGGTACTCAAACCATGGTTGGCCATGTGGGAGTCCAGCACTTGTAACCAACACCTGTTGGCCCCTCCACATAGATTTAAAAAAATTTTTTTTCTGGCTCTGTAGGCTGGTCATGGCTATGCTGGTCTTGTCTCTAGGCCATAGGTTGGGTTGAGGTTCACTCTATGTGTTCCTTTCTCCTTGGGCCATTTTCTACACAGGGCACACTCTTCTCATGGCTTATCATTTGAAAGCCAGAGAATGAGCCACACCTCACAGCCACATTTAAAGCCCCTCTACCCACCGGGTCCACTAAGATTCCATTGGTCAAGCAAGTCACATAGCTCTGCCTCAAACCAGCAAGGCAGGAAAGTGCACTCCACCCACCACGATGCCAAGGAAAGGGTGGGTAAACATCCTATAACTGGGAGTTCAAAACAAGAATCCAATCTATCACAGCTACTAACACTGAAAATAGGAATAAAGTCACACAGGTAAGAATAATCAGATTGACAAGGACTTATACACACATTTATAGCAATAATAAATGTATATCTCAAGGCTAGGAAGAAAATGCATACTTGGATCCGCTCTGTGGCGTGGGACTGACTTTTCTTGGAATCTGACCTGAAGGAGGTCAATTGCAAGGTTTGGCCTGTTGTGTTGTTGCTGCACCCCACCACTGGGGGCAGCATTTGTCATTATTTTACAGCTTCTGAGCTTGGTCTCCCATTATAAAGAGAACTCATTTACACTATTCTCCCAGTATATCTTATAAATTTGGTACAAATGTGGTATTTCTTTTCTAGAAAGGAACATCCTCTCCAGGAGCTAACATTCCAAAAAGAGCAATGACCTTTTTATTTGCCTTTTTCCTTCTAGCAAAATGCTCCAATTATAAATGGCCTCTGTCCCTCCAGGGACCAGCAGTTGGTGTAATGGCTATGTCGCTGGACTCCCACATAGTCGACCGTGGTTCGCATCCCGGACCCGGTGGCTTAAAACTCACACTGGGCACGTGTGTGTGCGTGCCCAAGATTCCTAGAGGAGACCGGATCGCGGTGTGGCCATCCCCCCCCCCGCCCCGGGAGGGGGTGATTTCTCGCTTTCTGTCTGTCTCTCTGTCTCTCTCTGTCTGGCGAGCGCACATGCCCTATAGCAAAAACCTCTTCAAAAAAAAAAAAAAGGCCTCTGTCCCTCCAGACCTTCATGTAGTCCAGCCCACCTAAAATGCTCTTCCTGGGTTTCTCAGATCTTTGCTTTCAGCAGAGTAACTCCTACAGAGCATTCTGACTCGTCAGGTATTATCTCCCACCACATCCCACCCTCCCCCTCGTCTCCCCTGAGTGGATCCCCCAAATCTGGGCCACATGCCTCTGCGTCCCCCATTGGCACATAAAGGTGATGTGACAACTTGCCTGTCTTCTTTACTAGGTGGGGGGCACCCAGAGGGCAAGGAACCCACCTCCCTTGTGTGACTGCAGTGCATGCCCCTTTGGCAACCAAGTGTTGGCAGAACAAATACAACTGTAATTATTATTTTAGTTATTATCATTACAAAATACATCAGATATAAAAAATAGGGAATCTGAGCTGGCCCTGTAGCCTAGGGGTTAAGGGAACTGAATCCCACAGCGCTGACCATTTGGCTTCAAATCCTGCCCAAGCAACTCAAAAAACATGCCAGGCACATGTGTGTGCATGCTCCCAATCTTAACAGATTGGAGAAACGGAGGAGAAGGGATTGCTGTGTGATCATGCCCCACTGAGGTGTGAGGGCTTTCTCCCTCACTCTCTGTCTCTCTTTGGTGAGCACATGTGCTGTCTGGCAATTAAAATAAGAAAGGGAATAAGGCCCTTCTCAGCCCCACTTTCCACCTGCTCTTCATTCCCTTGCTTGCTCTTCCCTGGCCACGTTCACCTCACACATGCCAGTCACAGTTCTGCTTCAGGGCTTTTTTTTTTTTTTTAATTACTTTATGCAACTTTATTTATTTAATTTAAGCAGAGAGGGACAGAGCGTGCGTGCGTGCGTGTGTGTGTGTGTGTGAGAGAGAGAGAGAGAGAGAAAGAGAGAGAGAAAGCAAGCCACCAGGTTCTGGGACTCGAATGGCGGTCAGCCATGTGGGAGTCCAGCTCCCTTAACCACTAGGCCACCCGCCAGCCCCTTCAATTGTTTCTTAATGTTTTGTTTCTCATATTTTCTATCCTGAATACATGTTACACTTACAGTCAGAAAAAGTTCTTTGAAAGTTGAAGGACCAGCAAATGGTGTAATGGTTACGTTGCTGGACTCCCATGTAGTTGCTGCAAGTCGAGTCCCAGATCTGGTGGCTTAAAACTCACACCAGGTGTGTGTGCACATGTGTGTGCATGTGCGTGCATACCAAAAATCTGGAGGGACTGCGGTGTAGCCATCCCCCTAGAGGGTGATTTTTCTCTTTCTGTCTCTCTGCCTCTCTGGTGAGGCATGTGCCTTATAGCAAAAATCTCTCTAAAAACAGTTAAAAAAGGGGGCACTTGGGAAACGAGAAAGACATGGACCGGGTTCATGACCAGACACTTCCCTGCTAAAATCCGATAGCTGAATCGTCTCCTTGTGCTGCAAGCAGTTAAGTCCAAGGTGATGAAATGACCCACGTCGTACCCTGCAAGCTTTTCAGTTACGACCCAAACCATAGCTACAGTCTTGTTATTGCCACTGCTCGTGTGAAGACAAAGAGGTTCTGGCAAAAGAAACAGCAAAAATCAGAACTGTGTTCAACTACTAAGCAGTAGAGACAAACCCAGCTCTCTGTATTTCTTAAGAGTGGATTTTTGCATTTCCGACAGGTACATTCTATGTTTTTTTAAAAAATAAATTATGTATTTATTTCTTTTGAATTTGCCTATAAGGCATGTGTGCTCACCAGAGACAGACACAGAGAGAGAGGGAAAGCGAGAAAGCAAGTTGCCAGATCAGGGACTGGAACTGTGGTTGGCCATGTGGGAGTCCAGCGCTTCAACCACCATCCACCTGCTGATCCCCCACTCGACATGTTTCTAACTCCACTATTTTGTATTTCCCTAACTTATTACAGAAAAATAAAATTGTATCTTGGGACCAGCAGTTAGCATAATGGCTATGTCGCTGGACTCCCACGTAGTGGACCGCGGTTCGCGTCCTGGACCCAGTGGCTTAAAATTCACGCTGGGCGTGTGTGCGTGCGTGCCCAAGATCCTGAGAGGAGAATGGAGGAGAAGGGATTGTGGCGTGACCATCCCCCCTGGGGGGTGATTTCTCGCTTTCTGTCTCTCTGTCTCTCTCTCTGTCTGTTTGGCAAGCGCTCGCGCCCTATAGCAAAAACCTCTCCAAAAAAAAAAAAAAAAAGAAAAAGAAAATTGTATCTTTATGGAAAAGTGAGATGATCTGCATGACAATTTTGATGAAATAAGTGGGAAAAATGAAAGTGGTAACAACGCTGGTAAAAAATGTATCTAAGTATACTCCTAACTTTTGAAAATGCTTCTTTCATAAGAATGACCTTCCCTCCTTACCACCCCCCTTGATGATGCTAGAAACCAGATTATTACAACCCTGGAAAACGTCTTTGGGTGTTAAGTAGTTGTAATTCTAGTTTGCTCTCTGGCGCCATCTACTGATTAAATGGCATTTCAATTCAGAACTGAACACAATTTGAGTTTTTGAGACAGAAATTTTATATATATATAAATTATATATTTATATATAGGGAGAAAAGAGATTATTATAATTATATAAATAAATAAATAAGTATGTATGTAGAGAGAGAGAATGAATGAATCCTGGAAATCCTTTATTAAGGGTTAGTAGGAACTTGCATCATATTTGCATCTAAACAGAAATGTCAAGATTGTCAGTCTGAATATCAGTCTGAAGTTTCAAAATAAAAATGACACTCATATGGCGTGCTCTAGTTACTGCAACTATTTAATTTATCTTGAAGAAAGTAAAGTGTTTATGTATAAAGCTATTTATGAGAAGACTAAAAACCTCTGTGGCTTGGGGCGGCACATAGTGGAGAGGTTAAGGTGCCGGATCCCAAATCTAGTTACTTGGGATCTGAGTCCCAGACCCAGGAACTTGGAAATCAGACTTGGCGGGGCCAGCGAAGTAGCATAGTGGTTAAGGTGCTAGACTCCCTTATGGCTAACTATGGTTTAAGTCCTGGCAGCTTGAAACTCACACTGGGAGTGCTGGCAGGTGGCGTGGTGGTTAAGGGCGTTGGACTCCCACATGGCTGACCGTGGTTTGAGTCCTAGACCTGGTGGCTTGTTTTCTCACTTTCTCTCTCTCTCTCTTTCTCTCTCTCACTCTGTCCCTCTCTAGTCAAATAAAAAAAAAAAAAGATAAATAAAATAATTCTTTAAAAAAAATAAGAAAAAAGAAACTCACACTGGGCACATGTGCATGTATGCCCCAAATCTCAAAAGAATGGAGAAGGGGGAACCAGCAGTTAGCGTAATGGCTATGTCGCTGGACTCCCATGTAGTCGACTGCGGTTCGTGTCCCGGACCCGGTGGCTTAAACTCACGCCGGGCGCGTGTGCGTGCGTGCCCAAGATCCCGAGAGGAGAATGGAGGAGAAGGGATTGCGGCGTGACCATCCCCCCTGGGGGGTGATTTCTTGCTTTCTATCTCTCTGTCTCTCTCTGTCTGTCCGGCGAGCGCATGTGCCCTATAGCGAAAAAACCTCTCCAAAAAAAAAAAAAAAAAAAGAAAAAAAGAATGGAGAAGGGATTGCAGCAAGGGATTTCTCACTTTCCTTCTTTCTCTCTCTGGTGAGTACACACATCCTACAGTAAAAACTAAAAAACAAAACAAAACAAAAAACGTTTGTGACTGCTTCAAGTCTTCCTTTATTATATAAAAACTCATACTCCTTCCACTTTATCTCCAAACCGTACTTTGACTCTAAAGGATCATTAACATTTGGTAAATTTTAATTGGATATCAATTTATTAAGGAACCATTCCTTTTGCTCATTAGCACTAAACATCATTTTTGTTTTGTCAAGTATCCATGTAACATTATGTAGAAAATGGTCCTTCATGCCAATAGATTTGCTCCGTGTACTAAAGCACTAATACCCCAAACTCCGGGGGCGGGGGTGTGTTCCAGAATGGGCTTACGAAAAGCTGAGAAGTACCATCTACTACACAAATTCAATGAGATGGAAAAAACCCTTCGTTTATTAGAGTTGGAAAATCAAGTTGGAAATGAACAAATGAATTCACTACTTAATGCATTTAATTCCAACCCTAATTGGAATCAACCTTTAAGATTTTACAATAATTACAACACGGCGATTCTGAGGTGATTTCAAAGTTGTGACTGTTAAAAATCAGAGTAAGCAGTATAAAATTACAATTTATAACGGGCCCGGGGGAGGGGGGAAGAGGGAATGCACAACTGCCCTTAAAAACATGAGGCGTAAGCCTCTTTACTCCCCATTTCCTCCTCGTCCCTCCTCCTGCCCCTTCTTTCCTAAGTACTAATCTGGTATGGAGTCGGCTGGGCAGAGCAGGGCTGGGTGGGTGGCGCCCTGAATGATGGGGTAAGTCTGCTTGGGCAGTTCTTGCTGGGAGGAGAAGATGGGAGGGGCCGTGGTGGCCACCGCAATGCTCTGGCTGCCGTCACTCACGACGGTCACTTCGGCTGTCCCCTCCTGAATCAAAGCGTTAAGGCCTTCAAAGTCAGTGCAAGTAATCCCCGAGCTGGTGATGAAAGTCTGGTTGCCGGAGCCTTCCTGCGGGCCGGCTGGGGCGGTCGGAATCAGAGCCTGATGCAGGGTGGCTCCGTCTGCCTGGTCGTGAGTGGTCAGCAGGACAGTTGGCTGGGTCATGCCACCCGCCTCGCTCGGACACCCCGAGGATTGCGGGGGGGCGATCAGACTGACCTGGCGCAAGATCTGCAGCCGGCTGTTCCCCGGGAGTTCCTCTGTGTTCTGGGCCACCAGAGCAGGGGGCATGATGTTGACCGCAGCAGCCGCGGCCTGGACGATGGTGTTGGTCTGGGGCATCTGATGCCCGACGATAATTTTCACTCTCCCTTCGCTGAACTGGGGCACTTGGTTGGGCTGGAGGGGCACCTGTAGGTGGCCCACAGTGAGGGGTGTGGTGGGCTGCTTGTTGGGGTCAATCTGAAACTGGAGGACGGTCACATCCGAGTTCTTATTCTCGTTGTACTCACTGTGCTGTCTCTTGTGGCTGCGAAGCGAGTCCTCCCGCATGAAGGAGGCCTCGCATATGTCACAGTGGAAAGTCTTCTTGGCGTCCAGCCTGGCCACCTGCCGGCTGCTCTGCCTGCCCGTGTCCTTCCTATCCAGCGCCTCAGCCTTGACCATGTCCCCGTGGAACTTCTTCATGTGCTTGCTCAGGTTGCTGGGCTGCTTGGTGTCGAAGCTGCAGTGGCTGCACTTGAAGGGCCGGTCGGTGCAGTGGATGCGCTGGTGCACGCGCAGCGCCGCCTTGCTGGAGCAGGAGTAGCTGCACTCCGAGCACTTCTCCGGGTGCTCTGACTGGTGCACGCGGCTGTGCTTCCGGAGCGTGGCTTTACTGTCCCCTAGGAAGTCGCAATGCGGACACTTGAAGTTATTCCCGCTGTGCTTGATGCGGATGTGCGACTTGAGGTTTCCCTTCATGGTGCAGCGGACATTGCAGAACTCGCACTTGAAAGGCTTCTCCCCCGAGTGCACCCGCATGTGCCTTTTCAAGTCCGAGCTGATTTTGAACTTGGCGCTACAGAGCCAGCACTGGAAGGGGGCGTCCCCTGTCAACACAAGGTGAGTTTCGATAAGAACAGGCAGGCAACAACGACAGCGGATCCCCCCGAAGCACACACAGAAAAATCGCAATACCAAGGCGGGTGGGTGGAGACCTTACACAGAAAAATCGCAATACCAAGGCGGGTGGAGACCTCCTAACTGCAGCTCCTAGCAGCCCCTGGGAGGAGGACAACGGGGAAGGCTTTCTTTCCCCAAACCTAAACCACCACCACCCTTAAAGCCCAGAAGAAAAATGTGAGATTGAAAAGAGCTACTTAATTGTCCCAAATAAAATATAGTTTGTAAATATATTCTTTAAAACACTCACGCTATCGTTCCCAGTGAACACGCCCGCTTGCTATCACAGTTAATAGCTCAGTTAGGTCATTCGCATAATCCGATGATTTTTGACCGAGTTACATGTCGCAAGAGAGTCATCAACATATTTTCAAATAGGTCAGCTCCACGTTGCACTCATCCGAGTATTCTTTTTCCAATGATTGAAACACCCAGCTTAAACTTCATGCAGATTTTTATCAATAAAGATAGGTTTACTGTACAAATGTGTTTATCCCAAATGGCCCGCTGTATTCTTTACTTGTGCTGTTATAAAATCCAGCTGTTTGAATTTAAAAAAAAAATCACAGTTGCTGAAAGATGAGCAGGGAAAGCGAAATTGCCAACGTCTGAATGGACATGATATTCCAAATTTGTTTCCTTGATGAATGCCAAGTCCAAACTATCTAAGGCACTGATAACTCAAGCAAATTGACAGCCCTTGTGCCCATCTCAATGCAGCTTATGCAAACAAAATGACAGCAGCTTAATTGTCCAGAGAGCAGGCATGACATGGAACACTCCACAAGAGGTCTCATTTGATGCTGGCAACATCGCCATGAGGTGGGCAGTAGTGTTAATATTCTTTTCGTTTTTTTTTTTTTCAGGTTTTTGTCATAGAGTGCACATATGTTTGCCATAGAGAAAGTGAGAAATCATTCCCCCTGAGGGGATAGCCATGCCACAATCCCTTCTCTATTCTCCACCTGGGATTGTGGGCATGCACGCACACTTGCCTGGCATGATTTTCAAGCTTCTGGGTGCAGGACTCGAACTGCAGTCAACCCTGTTGGAATCCAGCTCCGTAACCACCATGCCACGGTCCCCCCTCACCCCCATTATTGTTAACACCATGGTGCAGACAAGGAGGCTGACACCCAGACAGACTATGTAACTTGCTTGTGGTCACCTGGCTTGGATTCCAGTCCAGGCTGATTCCAGAGCAGACATTCTTCGATGCTGGGAATTATCTGTATGTTTAACCCACATTCGCTTTCTTAGGCCATAAACTCAAAAGACTAGGATTGTGCTCCTTTTTTTTTTTTTTTTTTTGCATAAAATGTATATCACCTGAAGCTGTTTAATATAATTAGGGGTGCTGGGGGTAATTTCTCAGTGTCTAGGACACTGAGAGGCCTAAAGTGAAATCACACTTTGTGTGGCTAAATGTCACCGAGATCATGTACACTAAACTCTGGTATGAGGCATGGGAAGTGTCACCCATGGGCCAAATCCTGCCTGAAAAACAATTATTTTCATTGCCAAAATTATTTATTTATTTTTAATTGTATGCATTCACCAGAGGGATGGAGAGACAGAGAAAGAGAGGGAGAGACAGCACAACCACAGTGGGGCATGGTCCCCTCTGCTCCATTTCTTCATCCTGTGGGGATTTTGGACATGCATGCATGCACGCACACACGCCCAAAGTATTTCTCAAGCTAGTGGGGGCTGGGAATCGAGCTGTGGTCAACTATCTGGGATCTGGTTCACTTAACCACTAGGCTACAGGGTCAACCTTGTAAATAAAGTTTTATTGGCACAGACTCCTGATCATTTGTTTACATGTGGTCGCCTTCTCACTGTAATGACAGAGTACAGTTGTGACTCTCGAAGCCTGAAATATTTACTGTCTGGCCCTTTTCAGAAAGTCTGCTTTTTCTGCCTTAGAATATTATTCGAAACTTTTTTTTTTTTGAGAGATTTTTGCTACAGGGCGTGTGCGCTCGCCAGAAAGACAGAGAAAGACAGAGAGACAGAAAGTGAGAAATCACTCCCCAGGGGGGATGGTCACACCACAATCCCTTCTCCTCCATTCTCCTCTCGGGATCTTGGGCACGCACGCATATGCTCCCGGCGTGAGTTTAAGCCACCGGATCCACGACTCGAACCGCGGTCGACTCCATGGGAGTCCAGTGACATAGCCATTACGCTAACTGCTGGCCCGCCATTACCCTTTTTTGACAGTCTATTGAAGCCCATGGAATCCTTCTCAGATGAATGTTTTAAATGTACAAAGTGAACTAAAATAAAACCCCAAAGGAGTATAAAAGCAACCAAGTATATTAAAATAGTTATTAAAGGGAAAAAAGGTGGGGTACGTCTGCCAGCATGCGTGCTTTATTGCTGGATTAAATACCAAGCTCCGGCGGCGGGCCCAGTAACCACCACACTGTCTAAGTGGAGAGAGTGGCCCTGATCTGCCTGCAGCAGTTGTTATGAGAAGATCTGCGATTTCCTCTAACGTGCCATTATCTGATGGACTGCCTATTTTCATAGCTGAAGGACATGACACATCTCAGCACAGGTTAGTGGAAATGAAGATGTAAATTTTTTCCCATCCAAGTTTGTGGCCCTATCTCCTAAACTCTATTCAGGGATCCCAGATGGGAGATGGTACGGACCTAGAATGAGAATCCCTCCTTCAGAATGCTCTAGGCTTTCCAGTTACCTCCCTGCCCAGTCCTTTCGTTTTTCTGATAATCTTTTCTTTCCTTTTCTTTCTTTATTTATTTTTTGCTATAGTGCATGTGCAGTCGCTAGAGAAGGACAGAAAGAGACAGAGAGAGGGAAGGTGAAAAATCCCCCCCCGCCCCGAGGGGGTGGCATGGTGAAGTCCCTTCTCCTCCATTGGGATTCTGGGCATGCACGCACACAAACTTGGCGTGATTTTCAAGCTGCCAGGTCTGGGACTTGAACCACAGTCAACCATGTGGGAATTCAGGGCCTTAACCACCATACCACTTGCTGGCCTCGTGTTTTTATTTCTATTAGCAATCTGCAGAGGTGAAACCTAGACATATAAGATAACCAAGGCTCATAAGTAAGTTTCAGAGTTTAACACCATGTTGACTCATGAAACCACAGACTTAAGTCCCTTTGTCATCACCTTCTTCATCCCCACCCTTTTCTCTAAGTGATTCTTTAAAGGAGGTATACTGGTCAAACAGTGCTACCCGATGGTAAGACTTTTAGAGCTAACTGTGTGCTTCATCCTGTCCACTGCCTGATCCCACAGTGTCTGATGCATAGTCGCTGAATGAATGCGGGACCAGTGTATTTCAGCGGAGAGACCTTTTTGGAGTATAGGTAGCTACTAAAATAGCTTATGTCATCAGTCCATCAAATCAATAGGAACAGAATTCTGCTGTTGAACATTTTATAAGAGCCAAAGATTTATAGAAGGGGAGTGAATGCTCCATGGAGACGGTGCATAAATGGTACGCATTTAAATTTGTAGAAAACACATCTTTTCTATATTAATTTAAACATGCTACTCGAAATGGTAAGTTCATCCTTAGAAGTCAACATGAACTACTTTCATAAATGGATCCTTCTGCTTCTCTGATGTAGGCTGGGACTGATTTCCAAAGAAAATCAGTGAAGCATCACAATGATGCAGGATAATTAAAAAAAAAAAAACCTTGTAGTAGAAGCTTAAAAAAATGTCCCCAAGTCTCACCAACTCCCATCCCTCCCTGTAGCCATGGCATCTGTGTGCTCTCCCAACAAGGGCAGGGTGACCTGCCATGACTCACAGCAGCAGGTTCAACTATGTCATTGGACTTGGCCATGGTAGTTAAGTAGGCCTGACACAAGTAATAGCTTGAAATGGGCTGCTCATTGGGACTTGTTTGCTTGCACGTTGGTCACTGCCAGGAGGTCAGTCCTGGCCTGACCCGCTGGTCCCAGGAGAAAGCTGAGGATTACCTCAGTCCAGGCCAGTGGACATGCAGCCGACTGCCTGCAGATCCTCAGGCTTGTGAATGAGTCTAGCCAAGATCAGCAGAGCTACCTAGACGACACCAGCTGATCTCCAACATGGGAACAGAAAAAGCTTACTATTAATATTTTGCTTGCTGAAGTTCTGCAATTTTTTTTTTTTTAATTATCCTGCATCATTGTGACATGAGATAACTAATACAGACACTGGTATCCAGCAATCGGGTGTTGTCATCACAGAACCAGAATATCAACAGGCAGCACAGGTTTTGGGACTGGATTATAGGTAGAGGCTGGAAAAATGACAATTTCCACTATTGGATGCCAGATAGTTGGTGAATCTGTCACCTATGATTGCTAAGAAAATGCACATGATGAATTCTGTACGGGAGTAAAGAAGTAAATTCTAGGTCAAATGGTGAAAGAGTCTGCTAAGCAGACTGGAAGAAAGAGACAGACCAGAACTGGCCAGTTTCTACACAGAGTTCTGAGGGAATACAGCAAGTCAGAGATTGGCTGGACGTAGCTTCTCACCTCCAGATAGCATTTTCAAAGTAAACAGCCAGCCCGGGGACAAGAGCATATTCTGGGAGCTCATCTCAGAGTGAAGACTGAATGAGAAACGAGGGGTCGAAATGTAAGACTCCTTGTTGAAGTTTTCAAAAACGTCAGCCGGTGCCAAGTGGGTTTTCTCGGCTGGACAAAAGGAGCCCAAGGACCCACAGAAGTGCCTATCGGTGAGTTTGGAGAAAGGCGCAAGATTCTAAAACAGTTGTGGGCATGGTTTTTGGCATGTGGACACAGAGGAGATTTAAGAAGTTTTCAAAATAGTTCTACCAGCAAATCTGTCATCAGCCTAGGTAAAACAAAATGTGGGGAGCAGCAGGTGGCATGGTGGTGAAGGCACGGGACTACCACATGGCTGACTATGGTTTAAGTCCCAGACTTGGCAGCTTGCTTTCTCATTTTCCCTCTTTCTCTCTGGTGAGCAAATAAAATAAATAAATAAATAATTCTTAAAAACAACAATAACAAAAAACAAAATGTGGGGGAGCAGCAGTGGGCGTAATGGCTATGTTGCTGAACTCCCATGTAGTCGACCGTGGTTCGAGTCCTGGACCCGGTGGCTTAAACTCATGTAGGGTGTATGTCCGTGCGTGCCCAAGATCCAGAGGAGAGAATGAAAGAGAAGGAATTGTGTGCCATTCCCCCTGGGGAATGATTTCTCGCTTTCTGTCTATCTCTCTTGGTCTTGCTGGCGAGTGCACATGCCCCAAAGCAAAAACCTCTCAAACAAATAAACAAACAAAAAACCAGAATGTGAAGACTCCGAGCTTTTGGTAGGCAGGAAGCAGGCTGTGAAACTTTCTCAGTGGTGCATTTTCCAATCTTTTTCCAAAATGGCTAAGGAAGGTGATGGAAGGAATGTTCCAGTGGGGCTGGGTTAGGAACCAGGGAAATGAGACAAGGCCTAATGAAGAAACATCCCCTACTCCCTGAGTGAGGGGCCTGGGGAATTTGCCCAGAGGAATTTCGGAAATGCTACAGTGACTGCCAAGTGCCTCTTAATCTTCTCAGTTCGAAGAGCAGGGTGATTGCAATCACCTTGGATCGGTTTCATGACTCTACGTTGGGCATGTGGGAACAAACAACTTGTCTCTTTACTTCATCTGTAAATGAAGAGAACCACGTTCAGACCTGGTAGAGCGTGTCAAGTCTGAATGACACTCAGAGGGGTCTTGGGAGGTGTGAATGTATTTTGTATGGCAGAGAAACGGGAATGATGGTGAGGATGAAGGTGGCCTGCAGTTGTTTGCCAAAATGGCCCCGATTCTTCACCCCTCCCTGTATCTCTAACCTTTGCCATGTAACCTTGTGGTGATCTCTTGCTGTGGGCGAGCTCAGTCCCATCCCTGACACCAGACCCAACCAGGGGACTTGCTTTAGCCAAAGTGATGTTTGCAGACTGACGTGAGCAGAGATGTGAAATGGGCTTACCCACTGGGGTTTGCTTGCTTGCACCTCAGCCATTTTCATAAGGACAAGTCTAGGTAGTCCACAGTCCCAGGGGGAGGATGAGAGATGTACGGAGCAGATCCAAATTACCTCAGTCTAGGTCAGTGGGCAGCCAGCTAGCCCATAGCCAGCAGGTCCCAGCCCAGATGAGACACACTGGCCTTTCCTACAGAGTATGATTTTAAGCCAAGCTAAGATAAACAGAGTGGTTTAGTCAACCCCCTGCCGACCTGAAGTATGTAAGCAATAAGTGTATATTATAATATGCCACTGAGATTTTGTGGTGGTTGTTACACAGCATCATTGTATCAATAGCTAACCGAGACACATGTCAAAAGAAAACTGTACATCATTTGTTGAGTTACCTACTCTGCTGACTTTGACGCATATTTTTCAAGTTGTCCCAGACTAATCAAAGAATACTTTAAAAATTATTGAAATGCTATAACCCAGTACGCACATGCATATTACGTATAACAAGCCTTACAAAACTTATCCTTTCTACTAAAAAAATCCTAAAACCTCTTAAAAAAGAATTGAAATGTCTAACTGTAATGCACTTATCCTTTCTACTTGCATTATATATATACACACACACACATACATATATGCATACACACACACACACACACACACACTTCACTTAGTGCACCTCCTCAGTTACATGCTTTACTAGTGAATTAGTTATTGTTATAACATTATATAAATATATATAAAGGTATAAGGTTGAAGGTTTTCCCTATTTTACCCAGAAGAGAAGTTCTTCTGGGCAGAGGAAAAATACAAACAATGGGATGACCAGACATCTCCAACTTGTTTTCTTACATTGTGACTAAATGCCTTAAGATGCTTCTGATTCAAGCAGTAGGAGGTGAGGAGCAGAGAGGGAGAGAGCAAAGAGCCGAGACTTACCTGTGTGGGAGCGCAGGTGGACGGTGAGCTGGCTGGAGTTGCGGCTGGCGTAGGGGCAGATCTGGCACTTGAAGGGGCGCTCGTCGGAGTGTATCCGCAGGTGCTTGTTGAGGCTGCTGCTGTCGGCCGCGGCGTAGTCGCATGTTTTGCACTTGTAGGGCTTCACGCCCGTGTGGCACCGCATGTGGGTCTTCAGCTTATCTTTCCGGCTAAAGCACTTGCCGCAGACTTCACACTTGTGGGGTTTGTCTCCTTCAGACACACACACAGATGGCACCAGGAAGCAAGAGTTAAAAAAAGAAATAGGCTTATTTCCCACCACCTTAGGAGAAAAGTAATAGGCAACTACCAAAGAATATTGAGAAAACCATAAAGCTGGATGGATGATTGGCAAAGAGCTAACATCGTCCAAGAGGGGGAGCATCTTCTATTTTCCTTATTGGCATTTTTCACAATGAATATGAATCTTTCATTATATCCTACTAGAAGGCAATTAAAATTTTAAGTAAAATAAGAAATTGGTAGTTGTCTCTTGTATTCATTCTCTCCTTTTTCCTTTTTTGAAACAGACATACCCTAAAATTAGAACTCTTAAATTTTAAAGAATTTTTAAATTTTATTCATTATTAATATTATTTTAAAAATTTTGACCAGAGAGAGACAGAGAGAGAAAGGGAAAGCGAGAAAGCAAGCCACAGCCTGCCATGTGGGAGTCCAGCACCTCAACTACACCACCTGCCAGCCCCGAATCCCTAAATTTTAGCAGAGCTTGTGACTGACCAGCTAGACTGCCCTTCTTAGCCCCATTTGCAGACAGGTGTGATCTATGATGGCGCTTCCATCAGGGCAATGGCAAGAAAGTAGAGGGTGTCCCTCCTGTAAAAGAAGTTCTTGCTTCTTTTACTTTTTTCTTTTTCCCTCCTCCTTGCTATCTGTAAGCAGGACAGAGGGGCGAGTAGGCAGGTGAGAGCAGGTGAGAGCAGGTGAGAGCACACCCCTTTAGATGCTGGAGTAACGTAACGTCGTGAGAAGAGAGGAACTTCCATTCCTGGGCAATCTCCCAGGACAGGTGCTGGCCTGTCCTAGACAGCCTGCTCACCTCTCATCAGTTATATGAGAGACACATAAACCCCCATCTTTCAGTTTCTCTGTTACAGCAGCTTAATCCGAACTTCATTAATACATATATTATTTGCAACCCATGAACAACAGCTAACTTTACTTTTTAAGATTTTAAAAAGATTTTTGCCACAGAGCATGTGCACTTGCTGGAGAAAGCCAGAGGAAACGTGAGAAATACCCGCTCCCCCCACCTCCGGACACACAGAGGGTGGATGGCTATGCTGCAATCCCTTCTCCTCCATTCTCCTCTTGGGATTTTGGGTATGTACACATACATGCCTAGCATCTCTAACTCTTTTTTTTTTTTTTAATTATTTGTTTAATTTTTAAAAGGGGATTATTTTATTTAACTTTATTTATTTATTTTTTTAATTTGACCAGAGAGGGACAGAGAAAGAGTAAAAGAGAGAGAGAGAAAGAAAGAGATAGAGAGAGAGAGAGAGAGAGAGAGAGAGAGAGAGAGAAATGAGAAAGAAAGCCGCCAGGTCCGAGACTTGAACTGTGGTTGGCCATGTGGGAATCCACCACATTTCCTGCCCGCCCCCTATTTATTTAATTTAGTGTATTAAAGAGAGAAAGAGAGGGAGAGAAGGTTGGAAAGCAAGTCACCAGGTCTGGGACTTAAACTATGGTCAGCCGTGTGGCAGTCCAGTGTCTTAACTACTATGACACCTGCTGGCCCTGCCCAGCATGATTTTTGCTAGGTCCAGGACTCAAACTGCAGAATTGGCCATGTGGGATCCAGCACCTTAACCTTCATGCTACATGCTAGCCCTGTTAACTTGTTCTTTTTTTAAAGCCTACTCATTTTTTTTTTTTTTTTATGAGCAAGAGACAGAGATGGGGAGCCGTGAAGGGTCCTGTGGTGCTGTGTTCCCCGACCCCCCTGTCCATCCAGTTAGGGTCACAGACACCCCTGCTGGTGCACCTGAACCTTGGGCCTCTGACTAGCTCCAGTGTTCTGTAGCGGTGTCCTCACTTGTGCCACAACTGTGATATATATATATATATATATTTTTTTAGGGTTTGCCATAGGGGACATGTGCTCACCAGAGAGAGAAAGAGAAAAAGTAAGACCCCAGGGGGGATGGCCACATACAATCCCATCTGCTACACTCTTCCTGGGATTTTGGGCATTCACACATATGTACCCAGTGTGATTTTCACACCACCACAGTCAGCCATGTGGAAGTCCAGCACCTTAACCACCACGCTACCTGCTGGGCCCAACTGCTAACTTTCTGATGTGTATTTTCCCAGTCTGTGTGTGTGTGTGTGTGTATGCACATATGCCTGCATGCACCTTTTCCCCTCTTGCTGCAAAAGAAACATCTTGGCTAACGTCAACTGAAGCACTTTGAATGGCACTGCGCCTTTGAATCATCTCACTTAATCCTTCCAACTGGCACTAGAACCCAAGACATTTTTTTTAGCCAAATGCTACACTGCTCCCCACTGACTACTTTCTTGGCTTCAAAGTAATTTTGATCATCTCTTTCACATTGTTTCGTCTCTGCAACCTGTTTTTTATCATTTGCCAGAAGGCGTGCCAGCATGCCAGAGAGACAGAGAGAGAGACAGAGAGAGAGACAGAGGGGAAAAATAACCCAATGGGGCAAGGTCACTCTGAAATCTTTTTTCTCCATCTTGTTGAGATTTTGGGCTCAGCACCACATATACTTTTTTTTTTAAAGAAAGATTTATTTATTCAATTTTATTTATTATTATTAATTAATGTGACCAGAGAGAGACAGGGAGAGAGAAAGGCAAAGTGAGAAAGCAAGCCACCAGGTCTGGGAATAAAACTGTGGTTGACCATGTGAGAGTCCACCACCTAAACCACCATACCACCTGCTGGCCCCCCTGCCATGTTTTTCAAGATGCTAGGGCCAGGATTTGAACCATGTCTTTGGACGTATGGGATCTGGCTGCCTTAACCAGCAGGCCATGGGGCTGGTCCCACAACATGATTTAAAAAAAAAAAATTTTTTTTTTAAAAAAAATTATTTTATTTAACTTTATTTATTTATTTTAATTTGATGAGAGAGAGAGAGAGAGAGAGAGAGAGAGAGAGAGAGAAAAGCGTATTAGCCGCCAGGTCCAGGACTCAAACCATGGTTCACTATGTGGAAGTCCAGCACCCTGCCAGCCCCTCACAATATGATTTTTTTTAAAGTTGAAGTATTGGACTGTGCTGATGTGTCATAAATTATTGAACCACTCCCCTATTTGGCCAGTGACAAGAATGAAGTAGGTACGTATCGGTCATGAGAGATCTTTTTCTTTTTTTTATGCAAAAATGCATTATGACTTTTCCAACAACCCAATAAATTCTGACATGAAATTATAGCCAATATTAAATGAAAAAAGCAAATCACAGTGACAGTACATATTATCTTATCAAGAGATGGAAAAAATGAACAGTGTTATGTTTTTAGGCCTGGTATATGCAAGCAAAACTTGTAGAGTGATGCAAAGGAGACAATTAAGGCTTGTGATATTTGAGGGCTAACAATAGCTCAGTGGTGAAGTGCAACGTTTTGCAAGGTAATCCCACAAGAGAGTTCCTGTTCTTCCTGAGTTACTGGGCGCACAAGTACCCACGATCCAAGCCTGGCTGAAGACGGGCTGGGTCATGCATTGAGCCTTGGTAGGGGTACTGTTTCTTTCCTCTCTTCTCTCTGTCTTTCTTGCTCTTGGAAGAAATTTAAAAATTTACTAATAAAAAAAGACTGATGATGTGGGACTGTTGATTAGAAGGACGTGGACTGTGAGTCACAATTTTAACTTATCACTTTATTCATCAAACATGTATTTTGGCTAAATTTTAAACAACCAAATGTTAAACTGTCAGCTAAAGCCAATCACTATTATCATAAACATTTGGGATTTAAAGATACATCTAAAAGTTTTTTAAAGATTACTTTATTATAAATTTTATGGGGGACCAGCAGTTGGCGTAATGGCTATGTCTCTGGACTCCCATGTAAGTCGACTGCAGTTCGAGTTCCGGAGCTGGGTGCGAGTGTGTGCGTGCCCCAAGATCCCAAGAGGAGAATGGAGGAGAGGGGATTGCGTGTGGCCATCCCCCCAGGTGATTTCTCGCTTTCTGTCTCTCTGTCTCTCGCTGTCCTGGCAAATGCATGTGCCCTATAGCAAAAAAAAAAAAAAAAGAAAAAAGAAATTTTAGGGGCCAGCAGATGGCATGACGGTAAAGGTGCTGGACACTACCACATGGCCAACCACAGTTTGAGTCCTAGACCTGGAGGCTTGCTTTCTCACTGTCCCTCTCTGTGGGTCTCTCTCTCTCTCTGGTCAAATTAAAATAAATTAATAAATAAAGTTAAAAAAATAGTTCTTAAAAAAAAAAAAAGAAACAAGAAATTTTAGTAGTCAGGGACCAGCAGATGGTGTAATGGCTATGTCGCTGGATTCCTGCACAGTTGACCATGGTTCAAGTCTTGGACCCAGCGGCTCACAACTTACAACGGGCATGCATGCATGCATGCCCAAAATCCCGAGCACGGAGAAGGGATTGCAGCATGGCTATCCTCTCTAGGCGATGACTTCCTGCTTCCTGTCTCTCCATCAAGCACACTACCCTATAGCAAAAATCTCTCGAAAAGAAAAAAAAAGAAAGAAAGAAATTTTAGTATCAAACTCAAAACTCCAGGAGCAGTACTTTCTTGGTGTCGGCAGCTGAGTATTCCCGTGGTCACTGTGCTGCACGTTTGCAACCAGGTACGGAGTGGTGAAAGCAGGAGGGCTTTAGCCAGCTCAGCTGGAGAAGAGTCCTGTCATTATGGGTGCTCCTCGGCCCCCAGGCTTAATAAAAACAGCCTTCTTTCTGAAAGTAACGCAGGGACGTCTCATCGACTCTGCTCAGCAATGTTGTACGACGCTTCAGACAGGCAGAAACTACCCCACAAATACATGTTTGGCTCATGGTATATAGATGTTTTCTGAATATTTGCAGAAATTGACTTAAAGTGACGGCTCTCATTTCTATTTTTACAATTCTAGTCATCTTATTTTAATTTTTTTTTTTTTTTGCCATAGGGCATGTGTACTCAACAGAGAGAGAGAGGGAAAGTGAGAAATTGCCTCCCAAGGCGGATGCCTATGCTGTAATCCCTTCTCTTCCATTCTCCTTTCAGGATTTAGGGCATACACATATATGCATCCAGTGTGTTTTCAAGCTGCCAGGTTTAGACCTGAACTGGACAGGAAGGCCATATGGGATTCTGCGCCCTAACCACCATGCCACCTGCTGGCCCCATCTTTAATATTTATAGTGCTTTATTCTTTCAAGGATAAATATTCTATGCTAGACTGATGGGACTTTAACACATGAAACCTACGAGGAGAGTTTCATCTCTTGTTGCATTAGAATGCTTACAATACTTGAAATTTAATATTTGGATAATTAGAATAAAACCAAATGACATGACACTGTGAGGCTGATTAGCTATGATGGTGACTCCACTGTAACAAGGCACTCACTGGTCATGGCCAAGCAACTGCAGACTTGAACAAGTAGTGAAGCCACACTAAGTTTCAGTGTGTGCCTAGCATGTTACACGTTTATACACTTGAATTTATATGTGTCTGCATTATTCAAATATGAGCATCGAATACTACGTTAAAAAATAATCTAAAAGTGGGGCTAGCAGGTGGCGTGGTGGTTAAAGGCACTGGATTCCCACATGGCCAACCATGGTTCAAGTCCCAGACCTGGAGGCTTGCTTTCTTGTTTTCCTTTTTTTTCTCTCTGTCTTTCTCTGGTCAAATTAAAAAATAATAAGAGCAAGTGGAATTAAAAATAAATAATTAAAAAAAATCTAAAAGCAAATCCCTCTCCATAAGAAAATCTATGAAACATAAGAAATAATATATTAAAGAAAATTGAAATCACCAGAAATAATCACTCTAGTCATTCTTTTTGTGTGTATCGACCTTTCTATAATTTTAAAATTTTGCTCTAGGGCACGTGTACTCAGGACATGTGTGATCACTGGAGAGACCGAGAGAGAGGAAGAGGGAAAGTGAGAAAGCATCTCCTTGGGGAATGAACATACTTCAATCTCTTCCCCTCAATTCTCTTCAGATTTTGGGCACTCACATTCATGTGCCTGACATGTTTTCAAGTCACTTAATCTGGGACTCGAGCCATGCAGCTGGCCATGTGGGGCTGAGCTGCCCAAATCACCATGCCACTAGCTGGCCCGTTTCTTAAAAAGGTATTTATTAAAGTCTTATTTCCAAATTTCAAAAATAACACATATTCATGTATTCACTTATTCTTTCCTCTTATTCTTCTTTTTACCAATCACACACACACACACACACACACACACACACACACACACTAACATAATTTGCCTTACAGTGAGAAATCCTTAAAGGAAGAAAAATACATGTGCTCAAATTTTGGCAGGTTAGTTTTCAGATGGCTGTAGCAGTTCTCACTTTCTTAGTTTTATTATTTTTGTTTATTTTTAATTTTTAAAAATCTGTCAGAGGGTGTGTGTGTACTTGCCGGAGAGAGAAAGAGAGAGAAAGCACTACCTTGTGGAAGATGATCACTCTGCAATCGCTTTTCCGCTCTCCCTCTTTTCGGGATTTGGGCATATACACACATGTGCCCAGCATGTTTTGGGATTTGGGGCATGCACACACATGGCCACAAGTGGCTAGGTCTGGGCCTCGAACCATGAGGTTGGCCACATGGGATCTGGCTGTCCTAACCATGAGGCCAGGGGCTGGCATATCAGTTCACATTTTCACAAACTAAATTACTCACATCCTCTCCAGTACTGAATTTTATCATCTTCTGCCAAAAATCACATGGAAAAATAACGTTTTATTTATTTTTAATTTTTTTTTCCTTTGGAGAGGTTTATGCTATAGGGCATGAGCGCTCATCGGACAGACAGATAGAGACAGAGAGACAGAAAGCGAGAAATCACCCCCTAGGGTGGATGGCCACGCCGCAATCCCGTCTCCTCCATTCTCCTCTCGGGACCTTGGGCACGCATGCACACATGCCCGGTGTGAATTTAAGCCACCGGGTCCGGGATGTGAACCGCGGTCGACTATGTGGGAGTCCAGTGACATAGCCATTACGCTAACTGCTGGTCCCAATAACGTTTTATTTTTATTTAGTTCATATTTGCAATTCTGTGACAACCAGTGAGGTGGGCGTCACAGCACGTATCTGACCTGTTAGGTCCCCACTCCTACCTCAGAGCAGGCGTTTAGGACACACGTGTGAAGAAATGGCACTCACCCGTGTGAATTTTTAAATGGCGCTCCATGTCCTTCATACCGTAGGCAGTCTTGAATTGGCAACCTAAAATAAATAAAGCAGCAAAAAACAAGGAACGATGAATTACCAAGGGAGTGTCAAGAACTTCAAAGGAGCGAACTGGCGGAACCACGTCACCAGGTGACAGAAGTAACACCACAGTAATGGCACCACACCAGCAGATGGCGCGTGCCTCCTCACATGACACACCGAGGGCATCATCACTTCCATGGTCCCTGCCGAAAGAGCACCAGCCAGACCCAACTATGAGGCACCAGGCGAGCTCCAATTAAAGCATATTTCACATAACAGCTAGCTTAGCTTTTAACGGTGTCCAGGTCACGAAGATACAAGCTTGGGAACTATTCCGAAATAAAGGAAATGAAAGACCCAAAAAATCAAATTCAGTGAATTATGATGAATTAGACTTTGGACCGTTTTTTGTTTTGTTTTGTTTTTGATAGAGGGGATAATAGGGGAATGCTTAACAACTGGTCCAATCTGAATAAGGTCAGTAAGTTTGCCAATAGTATATATAAAAACTAATTTCCTGAAAATTTTTGTTTAAATTTGTTACAGTGTGTATGCACTCACTGGAGAGGAAGCAGGTGGGGAGTGAGAAAGCTCCCCTCAAAGGGATGCCCACACCACAGTCTCTTCTCTTCCATCCTTCTCTCAGGATTTTGGGCCTGCACACACATGTACCCGATGTGTTCTTCAAGCTGCTGGGTCCAGGACTCAAACCATGCAGTTGTCCGTGTGGGATCCAGCAGTCTCAACCATCATACCCCTGGCTGACCCCATTTCCTAATTTTGATGATTGCCCTGTAGTTACAGAAAAGAAGGTCCCTGTTCCTAGGAAGTACACACTGAGGCATATTAGGGAACAAGGGGCAGCATGTTTCCAACTTATTCCCAAATATTGGGCTGTCAGAAAAGTCATGATATTATAAGTCATGATAGCATATTTGCATAGAAGAACATTGAAAAACACATCATGACTTTTCTGATGACCCAATAGTTTGGGGAAAAATGCATGCATGTATAGAAAGGATGACAAAGCAATTATGGTAAAATGTTAACATTTGGGGAATTGAGAAGAAGGGACTACAGGGCTTGTTGGGACTATTTTTTGCAACTTTTCTGTAAGTCTGAAATAATTTCCAAATAAAAAATTGACAAAAGTAAGAGAAGAAATTTTTTTTTTTAGAGAGATTTTTGTTATAGGGTATGTGTGCTTGCCAGAGAAACTGAGAGACAGAAAGCGAGAAATCACACACACACACACACACACACACACAAGTGGACTACAGGGCTTGTTGGGACTATTTTTTGCAACTTTTCTGTAAGTCTGAAATAATTTCCAAATAAAAAATTGACAAAAGTAAGAGAAGAAATTTTTTTTTTTAGAGAGATTTTTGTTATAGGGTATGTGTGCTTGCCAGAGAAACTGAGAGACAGAAAGCGAGAAATCACACACACACACACACACACACACACAGTGGGGATGGCCACGCCACAATCCCTTCTCCTCCATTCTCCTCTTGGGATCTTGGGCATGCATGCACATGTGCCCAGCATAAATTTCAAGCCGCTGGGTCCAGGACTCGAACCACAGTCGACTACGTGGAGAGTCCAGCAACGTAACCATTATACCATCTGCTAGTACAGGATGTCTTCTAAACTACAGCACAGGAAGAAAAATGAACAGCACCTTAAAATTCTCCTATGTTCCCTTCCAAAGGCCTGTGGCTGTCAAATCTTAGGGCCCAACGCACAATGACAGGGACAGGAGAGACAATCCTGGTGCTGATGCAAACGCCCTGGGGCTTGGACTTCTACGCCAAGTGGTTAGGAGCACATCCAGAGTCAGCTCTCAGGAACTGAGGAGGAGACCCCTGGCACCTGGCTAAAGGTCACATCCCCTACACAACCAGGACCTACTGTCACCTTTACCTGGATAGCAACAGTTAAGCCTTTTCTGAGCAGGGGGTGTTGCTGGCTTCTTGGTGCGTGTCTTGGCAGGGAGAGAGATGACAGTGGCTGTCTGGTTTTCATTGCTTTCCGTGGGCAGGTAAGTTTGATAGCCATGTTCAAAAACAAATTCAGGGGCTGAAACTAAAAGACACAATGATTAGAGATTTTCATAATATCAATAGTCATTTTTTGGTATGCATGGGGGAGTGGTTCCAGGAATACCCCCCTACCCCGCTGCCCAGACTCCAACAGATACCAAAACGCAAATATGCATCCCCCATACACTTTAAATCAATTTTAGTTTACTTATAATATAAACCAATATAAATGCTATGTTAAGAATTGTTATACTGTATTGTTTAGGGAATAATAACAAAAAAAAGTATGTGTTCAGTACAGATACAACCAAGATTTTTTGTTTTCTTTTGCTTTTTTAATATTTTCTCTCCATAGTTGGTTAAATCTGCAGATACAGAACCCAGATAGGGAACGGTGACCTGTACCCAAATATTCCCTTGCCTCCTACCTTTGAAAAGAATGAACATTACTTTTTTAGTTTCTTTTACTGCTTAGGGGTGAACATTGAACCAGTTTTAGCCAACGAAACACCTGAGAATATCTGCTGTGGAACTTCTGTACAAGATTTCCCCTCTGGGGACCAGCAGATGGCATATTGGTTGTCGCTGGACTGCCATGTAGTTGACCACAGTTCAAGTCCAGGACCCAGCAGCTTGGCTGGGGGTGTGTGTGTGTGTGTGCCCAACATCCTGAGAGGAGAATGGAGAGGGATTGCAGTGTGGCCAACTGCCCTGGGGGTGATTTCTTGCCTTCTGTCTCTCTGGTGAGCATGAGCGCCCTATAGCAAAAATCTCTCTCTAAATAAAAAAAATGGCCACCTGGTGGCATGGTGAAGATGGCCGGATTCCACATGGCCAACTGGATAGATAGTTTATGTCTTGGACCCAGCAGCTTAAGGAGAAAAAAAAAATGCTGGGCACATTTGCATAATGTCCAAAATCCTTAAAGGAGGGAGAAATGGAGGAAGAAGGTTTGTACCATGATTGTCCCTCCTGGAGGGGGGTGCTGTCTTGCTCTCCTACCCACATCTCTCAACAGCAAGTACATGTACCCTCTAGAAAAAAAAAAAAAAGGTTCAGGCAGAAAGAGAGGTAGTTGAGAAAAGCTCGTTCTTACTGCCCTGGTTGCCCTACTTTGGACATGCTGGACTGAAGATGTGATGCCTGGATCTATGGCAGCCATTCTGTAACCCTAAGGGAAAGCAAGAGAATCAGATGCTGAGCCAGAGCTCTAAGACTACTTCTTACATCAATAAGAAATACCCAATAATTTATTTGTGATAGATTGTCTGTTAACTGCAGTTAAGTGTATTAGGCACTTTCATATGTTGTATCTTGAAATTTTAACAAATCACTGGAAAGGGAACTGATGGATGGAATTCTAGGCAAAACCAGTCTACTCAGTAATCTCGGCGTAAGTATTCCTTAAGAAAATAAGAAAGAAACTGAAAGAAAAAGGTAAAAATGAAGAAAAAAATCCTGTGCCCTTACTGACATTTTGAGGGAAAAAAAAATAAAAAGGAAAAGAGCCCCCCAAAAAAATATCACTGAAAAAGATAAGCCAGGGAGCCAGCTCTGAAGCATGGTGGTGACGCACTGAGCATGGGGAGTCGAATCCCACAGGGCCAACTGCATTTTGAGTCCCAGCACAGTGGCTTGAAAAACACTCTGTGTGTGTGTGTGTGTGTGTGTGTGTGTGTGTGTATGAGCCCCAAATCCTGATGGGATGGAGAAATGAAGGCAGAAGGATTATGGCATGTCTGTCCTACAAGGTGCTCTCTCTGTTGAACACACACCCTCAGGCAATTAAAGAAAAAAAAAAGATAGCAGTCTCAAACTCCTTTCTTCTTTTTTTAACTTACAAAATTTTTCTGATTAGCTTATTAACTGAGTTTATGGTTTGAGGCTTAGAAGTAGTTTCTTTCAGGGCCAGCAGGTGGCGTGGTGGTTAAAGGTGCCATATTCCCATACAGCTGACCACAGTCCAACTCTAGGACCTGACGGCTTGCTTTCTCGCTTTCCCTTTCTCTCTTTGTCTCTCTCTGTTCAAATTAAAAAAAAAAAAATAACAATTTCAAATGGAATTAAACAATTCGTAAAAAAAAAAAGCAATAGTTTCTTTCTTCCTTTGCTAGGATGCATTATAATTTGTCACAGGAGAGTTGGCTTCAAGTGAGAAGCTAATGGGGCTTGGTCACTGGGTGAACTGTTGGGCTGATTTTGAGAGCTACTGTCACATTCTGTTTCCCAAGTGTTGGTCACTGAGGTCCTTTGACATTCTTGCCACTTTATTTATAGAATCCCTATTTTGGCTTTGCCCAAAACAATAATATTCATGTCACAGGTGGGAAGCGCTAATTATATATTCTTCAAAAAGTTTATGGAAAATGCATATGATGGGACCAGCAGTTAGTGTAATGGCTATGTTGCTGGACTCTCACGTAGTCGACCGCGGTTCGAGTCCTAGACTCAGTGGCTTAAACTCGAGCTGGGAACGTGTGCATGTGTGCCCAAGATCCCAAGAGGAGAATGGAGGAGAAGGGATTGCGCCATGCCCATCCTCCCTGGGGGCTGATTTCTCGCTTTCTGGCTCTTTGTCTCTCTTTCTTGTAAGCGCACATGTTCAATAGCAAAAACCTCTCCAAGTAAAGGAAAAAAATGCATATGAAAAGAAAAGAAAATGCATATGATGAAAAAACTATGTGTGGATTTCAATATTATTATTTTATTTTATTTTTTTGCCATAGGGCCCTTGCCCTCACTGGAGTGAGACACACAGAGGGAAAGTGAGCAACTACCCTCCAGGGTGGAGGGCCATGCAAAAATCCCTTGTTTTCTATTTTCCTCTCAGGATTTTGGGCATGCACACACGTGCCCTGTGTGATTTTCAAGCTGCCGAGTCCAGGCTTTGAACCACGATTAGTCACGTGGGAATCCAGTACCTTAACCATCATACCAACTGCTGGCCCCTGGAATTCAAATTTTTTGCACCCAAATAAACTCATACTTTTTACTATATTTTTTGTCATAGGGCCTGTGTGCTCTATGGCAGAGAAGAGCACACAGAGAGAGAGAGAGACAGAGAAAGAAAGTGAGAAATCCCTCCTCAGGGGGGATTGGTCACACTGTCATCCCCTCTTTTATATTCTCCTCTTGAGAATTTGGACATGCACGCACACACACCCAGTGTGATTTTCAAGTCACTGAGTCCAGGCTTTGAACCACGATCAGCTGTGTGGGACTCCAGTGCCTTAAACACTATGCCACCTGCTGACCTCTGGACTTCATCTTTTATGTACCCAAATAAACTCATACTTTTTTTTTTTTTTTTTGCCATAGGGCATGTGTGCTTGCTAGAAAGAGACAGAGAGACAGAGAAAGTAAGAAATCACTCCTTAGGTGGGATTGGTCACACTGCAATCCCCTCTCCTCCATTCTCATCTCAGGATTTTAGGCACACGTACACATGTGCCCAGCATGTTCCAGAAGCTGCTGGGCCTGAGGCTTGAACTGCAGAGTCTGTCACACGGGATCCAGTGTCCCAGCCACCATGCCACCTGCTGGCTCAAACTCTTACTTTAATTTTTCTACAAACTTTTTAAAGTACTGTCATATTTTCTGTTAAAACAAGCACCTTATTCTTTGAACCCGCAATATTAAGGATTCTAAGATGCACCTTTATCTTACATGTGATAAAAATGCTGCCAGTGAACACGCTGTGATGCAATGCCTTCCTATTCCTTAGCTATTGTACTTTATTGAGTGAGCCCTTTCGGATTCCTGTGGGCATTCAAGAGGAGCCCCAGGCCCTGATCTCCAGCTCTCTGGCATCACTAATGTCAAATATCACTGGGTTCTGCCAGCATTTGGATTCCCAGTAAACTCCTGGTTCCCGTTTTCCTCAGTGGCAATATGTTTTGGAAAGCTACACGGCTTATGTGGAAAGTTAGCAGGAAGCCCTCACAAACCGGGGTTCCCTGTCTTCACGCCAAGTACCTGATGCCCGAATCAGCCACGCCTGGCTCTGGCGGATGGTTTTCATGGACTCCGTGGGGCTTGGCTCCTGCTTTCCCTTGCTCTGTTAGTGCCCAAAGTGTTGCAGTGCTGCACCTTTAGCACCGGGGGCCCCGGGAACGTGTGACAAAGGAGGATCCTCAGGCCCCACCCCAGATCCACTGAGTCAACCTCAGGCTGCCCCCAACACCTCTGTTCTGTTTTTTTTTTTTTTTTTTTTGAGACATTGTGGCTATAGGGCACATGTGTTCCCTAGAGAGACAGAGACAGAAACATAGAAAATAAGAAAGCACTTCCATCCCCAGGAGGATGGCTGTGGGACAATCCCTTCTCCATTCTCCCCTTGAGATCTTGGGCACACATGCGCATGCATCCCGTGTGAGTTTCAAGCCACTAGATCCAGGACTCGAACTGCAGTCAGCCATGTGGGAGTCTAGTGCTTTACCCACTATGCCATCTGCTGGCCCCCAAAACATGATTTCTTTCTTTCTTTCTTTTTTTTTTTTTTTGGAGAAGTTTTTGTTATAGGGCATGTGCGCTTGCCAGAAAGACAGAGAGAGACAGAGACACAGAAAGCAAGAAATCACCCCCCAGGGGGGATGGCCATGCTGCAATCCCTTCTCCTCCATTCTCCTCTCGGGATCTTGGGCATGCACGCACACGTGCCTGGCGTGAGTTTAAGCCACCAGGTCCGGGACTTGAACCGCAGCCGACTACATAGGGGTCCAGCAACATAGCCATTACGCCAACTACTGGTGCCCCAAACCTGATTTCTAATGGCTACACAATATTCCATTATTGTGGTTGTTTCACAGTTTAATTAGTCATTCCCTTTCTTGAACACTGCGAAGGTTTCTACATATTTGCTTTCGTAAATAACACCTATCCAGAACTTTTAATTTATCCTTAGTTTCTCCGGACCCTCTAAATTGCTGAATTGAGCCAGAATGATATAGATGTCTCATTGCTTGGTGATACATTATAAGATCCTTTTGGAAATTTAAATCATTTGCTTTCTCCCTTTTACTATGACTGTCAAAGACACCATTT